TAGACTCTTGATTAATAAACCCCTGCGTGTGAATTGAACGACCTTGTCATATGGGGTGGTTTATTCATCAAGAGTCTACCCCTAGGGCTCCAAGTACCTCCTCAGAAGGTATTTGGACCCTCCTGGCACCCACCCCAAACACCTTCTTAGAAGGTACTTGGACCCCTAGGGTACATTCAACTCCATCTTCCACTATTGCCGGCGCAACCGCCCTCCTGGTGTTTTCAATGCCGGCGACCATGGCGATCGCCAAGTTCTGCGCGAACTGCCGGTCCATGAGCTTGACACCCTCCTGATCGGTTGGCAGCGTCACTGGAGCACTGCACGGAGCATCCCGGAGCCGCAGTGCGTTCCACCGGAGCGGTTCAGATCCTCATGTTCCACCAACTTGGATTCACTTAAGGAACCCAGGAGAAACAGAAACAACCTGGAGTCACAAAGGGGTGGTGTTTAGTCCCCAAGTGGGTGGATAATGGGCACCCCTAACCTCCATTAAGCACCCCTTTGTGACTGCAGGAAACAGCACATATTCTCTACCAGCAGTCACGTTCGACGGGGTGCGATCCGTGGAGGTAGGAGTTGGGTGCCTAGAACATCCACGGCCCCTGGATGGGACGAGCCACACCACCCCGAGCTCTGTGACTCCAGGTTTCTCCAGGTCTGGGGAGGCTGAATCAGTTCGGGGTATAGAACCATCACCTGAGGCCAACCGCCGTCTACCAGGCCAACCGTCCCCCACCCGTGGTCTCCTCGGGTTTCAGGGAAAGGCCCGCCGCGCGAGGAAGCCGCGCCGGTGCCGCGGTTCCCTTCGTCGCGGTGAACTCGTCCAAAAGGGGCGCCTCGTGACCGGGCCAGGTCAGGTGAAGTGGAGACTTCCGAAGAGTGGAGACTTCCATGATGGACCACTGGAGACATAAGATCTACCTAGAACCTGATTGACCCCTGTTTTGGAAACATGGTCGTTTCATGTCTTATCCTATCAAAACAGAGGTCAAATGGGTTCTAGGTATCCATATTATACAGTAAGTGCCTCTCAATTAGTGGGCAAACAGGTCATGACCTGTCATGACGGATGGCACGCAAGTGCTCGGAGATGTTCAGTGATTCGAAATCGATTCAAGTCAAGCGTGGACGGTCAAGATACCGGATCTTCCAGCTCTGCGGCCTCAAAGCCTCCTTCAAACTCACCCATGTTCCACGGTGGCGTTCGGAACACCGTGGAACCTTCTTCGCCGAAGACGTGTCACCTTGGCCTTGGTCCGCTACCATGTGACGGAACACGTCGGAGTGCAGCCTTGAGCAGCCTTGAGAGTCCCGAGAGTCCTCAAAAAGCAATCCTTGAACTCCTCGAAATCCGTACCTTCTCAGGTGAGGAAGGAGACACTGTTATGCAGGCGCCAGGAGGGCCCTGTCGTACCGAATTTGAGAAGGTATGGGGATCCCTAGACCTTGAACCGTCTGCCAGGGCGCCAAATCTGCAGGCGCTGCACTCGCTGGAACGTCGTCGAAGATGGTGTTGGCAACGTCCTTAGGAGGGGGAACGTCCAGCCACAAACGCCAAGCACGTCCAGAATTCACTGCAAATTAGGAACTGGGGGAGCATCTTTGAGTGAATACGGATGAAGTCAATGACGTTGGCCAACTGATTGCCTGGCTTCTAAGCTAACAGGCTTCTAAGCCTGCCTATCACCCTCTTGAAGTAGGATGATCTAAGCCAAAAAAGAAACCACGTTGCGTCAGTGGCAGAAGCCCCAAGTACATCCAGCTTCCGACTTGATTGGTCCTCCATGCAGGCCGATGATGTACTTTCCACTCCATTTGTCAAACAAATCGAGCAACACACCCCCCTCTCTCTCTCTCTGCCCAGTGTCTTTCACGAGTCATGCCCCATATCAAGTCGCTTGGGACAAAATAACACGTGGATTAGCGACTCTTGAGGCGAAGTCAAGCCCGAACAAAAAAACATGTCTGACTGGAGCAACTGCTTTAGACCTGCCGCACCACCTTGCATGCTGTTCCTTTGGGGCAGTTTTTGATAGTTTTTGCTCGGCCCTTGCAAGGCCCTCCAGGCAGGCCCTCTGCCCGGCCAAGACGCTTGCGATGGCCTGGACAGCGCATCATGGATGGTGAATCTTACAACACCCCCCCGTTCCTAGCATAGCAACTAATTACATGCAACTACATCTAGCAGAATCTTCATGTTTCCAAGCTCATTGAATTCCTTGTTGGGGAATATCGCCAAAGCAGTCGCCAAAGTTATTAAACCATCTGAGACCTTCTTCTCTTATCTCTTCTTCATCTCTCCTTTGCCGTTGCTCTGCCAAAAGTCGATTCCCAACATGGACCTCAAACCCTCATGCAAGAATTGTTGTCATCTTTGCATGGCAAAGGGCGCCCCATGTAAAAACAAAGTTTAGAAGTTCCAGTTCATTTCAATCAAAGCGTCTGCTTGGCTGCTGCTTTGGTCTACTGTTCTTCGCTCTTCTCTTTTTTCGTACGCATCCGCGATTCTGGACTTTGATACTAACCCAAAGCATCTTAAAATGAACACTATATCATTATCGCACCCTTGTCCGAGAGCGACCCCCCCAAAAGAACACACACACACACGGCGCTCAGGATGCCACTGATCAAATCCAAACGTTGACAACTACAGGTCCAAGTCGACTGCTTCTGGCGCCCCACCCAAAAAAAACAAGAAGGACACTTCTCTTCGGATCACCTACAAACCACCATTTATAGTAAAAAGAAACATATCTTGGACTCCCAGGACGCCCCGCGAACATGTCTTGCTGGCTCATCGCCGGGCCGCTGGGCCAACAAACCATGGATCTTCGGTGCCAGTCGCGCTTTGTCCGCGGCCTGACAGACCAGTGTGGCTGGCGACGTCACGAGTGACGTCACGTGACGTCACCAGTCCAGGAGGTTCCAAACACTGCTGGGATGAGCTGTTCCAATCTGCTTGGATTTTGCTGCTCCTACCGAAAAAACATATCTATACTACCCCCAGGCGAGTTAGGAGTTGTGCCAATTCTGAGATAAGTTGGTTTGTTGTTTGGATAGTATATGTACCAGGATGTCCCAGGTTACTTTTAAAAAATCACCGTACCGGGACAATCAAACGCCTGATCAGCGAGGTCGCAGGCGGTCGGCGGGTGAGCTGAAGAAGGGAGACCGACCCCCCCCATCCCTCAGCTCCTAAAAGGATCGGGACTGAGGCCAGTCTACGCCGCTATGCCAGGAGGCCCATGGTTTCCCTAGATGTTTAGCATTGCACATGTTCAAACTACATCAAACTACACCAACAAAGGTTGAAGGACCCGACCCATTCGACTATCCCATAGATACCGTAAGAGACGGGTCCCAGTTCAGGTCACTTAACCTCTCAGGATCTATAGCTCTTTCTCGCCCATTCCAACGCAGAACCGGCCAAAGGGCCCAACCCTCCTTGGCCGAAAAGACTCCTCTGCTTTGAGGTGAGGCTTTCATTGCCATGAACACCCAAGATCCTGCCGGTTCCAAATAAAAGATCCTGCACTGAGGTTTGACAGAAGCACGTTTAAACTCCCATCCCTGGTTATAACACGTGATCGCACTCGGCCGCGGATCGCACGTATTTGGCCGCGGAATGGACGTTCAAGGCCCAGCGACATGCAAGGATGGACGTTCCCGCCGGACGGCGAGGAAAGCATGTGGATCGGAGAGGGGCTACAAGACCCAAATACCCTGGACATGTGGACGCCACAAGACTCAGTCACCACAACCTGGCGGTTCTTGTGAACTGCCGCTCGGATGACCATCTCTCTCTCTCTCTCTCTCCCCATAAGCGACATCCCATCCCGAGCGCAACCAGCACCCCCCCGGTAGGCAACTGTCAACAAATAGCAAATAGAAGCTTAACAATCACCTGAAAGACTCCACATTGACTCCACAAGGTCCATAAAGGACTCAAACCCCAAAGGGTTGAAGAAGAGCGGTGAAAAGCGGAGCTGGAACGTGTTATCGTGACGGATCGTATTGTTTTTTCTCAATGGGGCCTCAAAAATCACCAGCTCCTAGCTGGAAACCACCCAGGGGTGCTGCTAGGAGAGCGGTGCAGCACCTTTTCTTCTCAACTCCCACGAGAGGTCAAATCAATGGTCGCACTCTTTGGCATCTTTCCTGTACCTGGACTTGGTTGAAAACATGGCCTTAGCACAAGCCTTTTCACACCACGGCGCATTTGCAAAGCAATCCTTTGTGGACAAAAGCTGCAACATCGTGCAAAAGCCAACGGCCTAGCCTTGTTAGCTCTTGGTATCTCTTGGTCCCCTACCTTTAAATTACGACAGCTTAGATCCTACTAAATACCAGCACCACCCAAAGGGTGGTTTATAGACCCCCTGACTATCTATTTTCCATCTAATAACCACCCTTTGGATGGTGCTGGTATAGACTTACAGTAATGAATAGCAAATCACTTATTTAGTAATATATTTGTGGGCAGCGCCCTGCAGCGGCACCAGCACTGAGGCTCCTAGCCGCGCACAGGGACCTCTCTGCCAGTGCTTGAAGTAAGAACCTCAATAGCTCTCGCTAGATGGGAACATTCTTTTGGGGAAATACATGGCTCACTCGTCCACATGGCTTGTTCGTCAACAGGCACCGCAGTGGCGAAGCACCGGCCATGGTTTTCCACCAACACACTTCACGGAACAGGTCGACAGACGCTGCCGGCTTCGCCGGTCTGGGACGTCCCGTGCTGTACCATCCCCGTGTCTCGGGTCGAGGTCCGTTTCGTTCATGAGCAGTGGCGTCGCAGTCAGTCGGTGCGGATCATGTGCGGTTCGGTGGAAATGATGATGATGATGATGCGACAAAGCTTATAGATTACTACCCAAACACTCCATGGGACTGCCATCTATGCCTACATTGAGGTGGTTGAAAAGGGGTCAATGTAAATATGCCAGTCCCATGGAGTGTCTGGGCTATGTCGTGATGCTTACAGCTCGTGAAGTGATAGTGTCACCGCTCTGCACTGCAATACATGTTCTCCTGCTCAGTCTTGAGAGGACGAGTCTTATGGTTAATGTGAGAGTTCTATCTCTTGAAGTATTAAACTGCCCAGCTGGACTTAATCCTCAAAGTAAGCCAGGTCTGTGTCGTCCTCGCCATCCTCCTCTGGTCCATAGCCATCAGCCTGCGCTGAAGGGCCATCTCGCCCTTCAGCATGAAGCTGAACACCGAGGAAAACAGGACCAGCACAACGACGGACTCGGGCTGAAAAAACCCGGCTGAACACGATCCCATAGACCCTGAAAACCACTCCCTATACAAAATAATGACCTCATGAAATACTGAAGTTGGTCATACAACAAAACACTACGAAACAGGAGGTCTTCAGGACCAGAAGACTCAGGAGGGACCTGGGTCAGACTGGACGTACGTAGGGGCTGGTTTGTGAAGGACTAACTGACTAACACTCTTTCAGGGTGCCAGTCATGACACGGGTCCCTTCATCTTCGCCTTCAGGAGTGCATCGATCGAAAAGAGCCCAGGTCCACGACCCGGTCGACCGGCTCTTCTGAATCCAGAGGGGTGGGACCTGGCTCATCCTCGGGTCTTTGGCGGGTTTCTCAGGAATCCTATCCCAAACACTCCATGGGACTGCCATCTATGCCTACATTGGGGTGGTTGAAAAGGGGTCAATGTAGGCATATATGGCAGTCCCATGGAGTGTCTTAGTATGGTTTTGAGGGACCTGGAAAGGGCTGGTTTCACGGAGCCTCTGGGAGGTTGCTGGGCTGTGAAACCACATTCCCGGTTGCCTCTCTTCCACCAGGTTGCTGCGCAGGGCGGGGGCTGCGCTGCGCCGAAAAGTCTTGGCGGCCCCCCCAAGTCTTTCTTCCAGTCTACGCCTTTTTGGTCCCCGAACCGTCATCCCACCGTCGGAAGACACCTTCAAATGGATGCGGTTTTAGACCGTTGCCGGTGCAGCGAGCCAGGTGAGGCTCCGCGCCGCTACCGCGCCTGCTTGGCGCCCATCGCTTGGACGATGCGGATGGTGTTCAGCCGTCCACTCTGGAACAAGGGCAGCCGTGCGACCACCACCTCTGGACAGGACGGCGTGCCCCAAAACGGGGTGCGGAACCCGGATGAAAACGGAGCTTTCGGTGTGTTTCGTCACAATGAGGACCTATAGAACTTCTAGAGCCCATGAAATTGACCTTGCTTTTGATTGGAAAAGCCTAAATCCGCTTTCTGCTCCCGGTGAGGTCGGACTGAGGTGCCTCAATTGGTGCCCCAGGTGCGGTATTTTGGGTGGTTGGAAGCCAAAGACAACTTTGCCCTCAGGTTTTGGGGGTTTTCACCTGGTTGACCTTGGAACTTCGCTACAATGACAGTCTCGAAGGAAGTGGCTCCTTGGAAGGTGACCCAGTTTGAAGCCCTATACCTGAAACCCAAGTGCCAAGCAGAAAGAAATGGATGTTCCAATATGGCAATTCGACCTTCCAAGTCCGGTGGTGACTGGACACCCCGAATCACCCCGAATCCGGAGGCTATTCATATCTATTCACACCTCTTGGAGGGTCCTGGTTGAGATCCTTAGCCTTTCTGGTTGGAACTGTGGGAAAACACATCCATGCAACCTTCTGGTCGGGACTGAGTGACACCAGGGATCCGTGTTCCGGTCTACCTTGTTGATGGGTGATGGGTGATGGGCTTCGACACTGAGACCTGCCGCTACTCAACTATATCTCCAATATCTCCAAGGTCACGAAGGCCCATCCCTATCACCCCTCGATCCTTCAATGCCTCCGATCGGCGGAGGTTAAACCATCTGGGCACTCCCAGGAACTCCCAAGCTGGAGCTGGATGGCAGAACACCGAAGAAGACGAGGGAGGGAGGTACCCAACCAAACAAAGCAAAAGACCCAAATCGTTCAACATGCACCAAAGAACTGTAACCCTTGGTGAACCAAGGGGGCCGAAAAAAGGGGCGTGAAAACGACCCGGAGCAACCGGGAACTGACTGGGGCTGTACTGGGACAGAAACACAGAAGGTTTTTGACACTGTGTCTGAGTTTTTGCTTTGGACTGAACAAGGGGTGTTTTAACTGTAAATCATCCTTGGTGGCTTCATCAAGGCCAATTGAGATGGATGTACCAGCACCCTCCAACAACAAGTCTCCTCTGGTGGTTTTTGGAGACTCAAAGGTGGCAGGCGCTGACTTGTGAAGTCGGGAAAAAGACTTACGCATCATTTGGGGCTTGTCAACACATCAGTCGAAGTTGATTCAAGGTTCCACATCGTCATTGTCCTGGCATGAACGACATCGAATGTCCCACTCTTCGGGAAATTGCAGGACAAATGGGGCGTGCAAACCGTTCAATAGACCAAGGGACCGGAATTTGTTGCCGACATGGAGGGCTCATACATGGGGGGTGATAGGGGGTGAATGATGGTGAAGGTACAAGTAACCATGGACGGGGTGATGGTCATGGATGGGTTTGTTTGATCGTCGACGCCGCAACTAACATCCCCTTCAGGGAAAGTGGTCTACGACGCATCGGATGCTCCAAAGTACAGAACTCTTCGAGAACTACAATGGGATCATGGCAGCTTAGCATGGAGCCGACATTGGCAAGTTTGCAAGCAAAGATGCGAAAAAGGTCACCTGTACATAAGCACTGCATGAGACTGGCATATTTACATGAATGGGGGTGGGTTTGGAGGTAGGCATCTCCGACTTCCTCATTGGACAATTTTAAAATAAAGGTTGACCGACCTGTTGGTTGCTCAGTGGGGCGTCTCGAATTTTGTGTTTTTTCCGCTTGGCGACTTTTCCCTAGGGCTCCAGTCGTACCTTCTAAGAAGGTGGGACTGGGGTGGGTTGAGAGGGTTCAAATACCTTCTGAGGAGGTACTTGGAGCCCTACGGTTTCCGGGGTAGGTACATATGGGACACCTCTTCATTCGAAGGAGCTGGTCTTAGGAAGCTGCACTTCCTGAAATCATCGACGGTTTGGGGTTTCATTTAAAGAGGACAAGCCGGGACGTGAAACCGGGGCCATGCCATCCATCCACGTGTAGTGTAGGTAACATCTTGGAACCATGTCGATCGATGTTCTCTTGGAACGACTCTCTCTCTCTCTCTCAGGTTGCCGGCATCCAAGACACTGCCCAGTGGAACACCTTCAGTGCTTCTCCCGGTGGAAATCTCCAAAGATACAGTAAAACCTGCAGCGTTTACATCCTTAAGTAGAATGAGGTCATTGACCTGTAGGGTTTGTCTTCTGCTGTTTTGTGGACACTGCCCATGTTTACGGTCTAAGCAAGGACACTAGACAGTGTCTGACCCTTGATTGAAAAGTGGCACACGCCTTGCTCAACCAAGATCGCTTGGTGGAAGAGCTCCACTTTGTTGACATCCACTTGGAAAAATGGAGATCAAAAACCTGCTCTTATTCGGGGTTGACAATTTCCTGGTCACATTCTCTGAAAGAGTGGAACGCAACAACATAATATGTCCGACACATGAAACACCAGAAATAAAGTATACATATTATGGGGTGTAATTTTTTTGCTTAGTAACCGGGGTTCCAGTTTACAACCAGGTTTCCACAAATCACAGCATACCGAACTAACTTGTTAGGTTGTTGATGGTTGTTGCTTGCTGAATATCGAGCCTCAAAGCCATTTCGGTTCAGCTTGTCTCCACAATGTCCTTTCTGAACGTGGATCAGCTGAGTGAGTCTGTGTCTTACTTGATCTTACTACTTGGTTTCATTGTTGTGCTGGCTTTGTTGCTCACCTCTGTTGGGTACACTGCTACGCACGCTAAGGCCAGAAGTGGACAACGTGGTCATGAAAAGCACTTCAACGCCTGCCCGGACCACGGCTACCAAGGTGAAGAGGGGAACCTTAAAGAAGGATCCAACCCGGTACCCTCAGTTTGGCCGCTTTGTTCAGGGACAGGTGGTTGGATGGAAGCCGGTTGGATTTCCACAGTGTGCACGACGAAAGCTCCAGATGGAAGTTGTGACTTGTCACGCAACCAGTTTGTAGCACTTACTTGCAATCACATGTTTTCAACACACGTTGGAGCACTACAACCACACAACACATGTTGAAACACAGCACCATACACGACCCGTTACAACAGTGCAACAACACAACAAACACTGTAGCAGTAACTGCGTCAGCTTCTTGACCTTGTAGGCCATATAGGTGTGACACTTTGGTTAAGCAACACACTTGGCTCAGGTTCCACCGAGAAAGCCCAAGGCTCCGGAAAATGTGGAGCTCCAACATGGAAAGTTTGTCTTGCAAAGCATGGGTTGCGTGAGTAGGCGGCTTAATGCAGATTGAACACTACAAGATGTGTTTGGCATGTTGTTACGATGTTGTTGTCGTCGTCATTGTAATGTTGTGTACATTGTTCAGTTATTGTTTTGGTGTCATTCAGGATGCTTCTCTTCCACGTACACCGCAACCACTGGCTACATTTCCATCAGGGGAAAGCAGGACTGTTCTCATTAAGATTGTATGTTTTTGCACTGGTGGAACACAGGCTCTGTTCTTTTGACATGTAGCCAGGACCTGGCTACCCAACTGTACCATTCATCTTTGTATACGAAGGCATGCCGAAAGGTACAGATCCAGAAAGGCAAGTATTTATCCATTCCAATGGCGGAGCACTTATCAGGCCACCAATGTTGTTCACATGCTTTGACACTCACTCCACTACTACAGGGCTCAAGATCAAATCGTCTTGAAGTATCGTCAGGGCTCCCTCGTGGATGGACTTCTTCTTTCACTACGCTGACTCATCAAGATGTACTGCGTGCATGCCCTTGGAAAGGTGCCCCAGTCATGTACTTAGTTGCCTGTGAAACAATGAATTTTGAAGGCAATCTTGTTTTCATAAGGTTGCGCAGCACAAGTGTATTTCAATGTTTTCTGGCATTGGTGGCCTTGACTTGGGCCTGTCTGCGTAGAGATCTTAGAGGTTGAGGTTGAAAGAGATGTGTGCTTGTAGAGTATTACCTTTGGCTATGCGTATTGTCAGCTGCTCTGTAGTCAAGGTTCTGTGAGCCCTTGTGCTTTGAACCGCCCTTAGATGAGACTCTGCGTCATGTTACTCACACTGTCCAGGTTCTATGTTGTTTGGTTGGTGTGTCCCTTCACTGCTTCGAACTGCAGGTCGAAATCAGCCCACACTGCAGAGAAGTTTTGGGCCAAAGAATTGTAGATGGTTCTCTGCCCAACGTGCCCGTGTACAACGATGTGTGTACTTTCCGTCCGACCGTCGACATGATGGCCACCTGCACTGGCCTGATTGCTGGTTTTCCATGCCAGGATTCTTAACTGTTACAACTACACACCATTATCTTGTCAAGCAACAACTTGCCACATCTAGCCACAACGCTATTTTGGTATCCACGTTCACCAATGTTGTTTCTCTAAGGATATTTGCGGAGCAGGTTTGATGCAAGGCCTCTCAGGGGCGCGTTCATCCCTAGTAGGAGAAGTCTTTGAGCAGGCAGACGGGCTACCCTACTTGTGACTTGCATGCGTTGGGACTAACTGTGACTAACTACATCTGTCATTCACGGATGTTCTTGTTTTGATTGATTGAGTACAATTTCATTGAGGCAATGGATCTTCCTGGAGAATGTATTTAGTCTTCTCAGGGCAGACATGGTTCCTTTCATGACCTACATTCTACAGGATCGATCGTCTTGTTTCCCAACTGTCAGTGAAACATAGTGCAGCCACACAACACGCAAGTAGTGTCTTGCACTTGTCCAGCAGGAGCTAGAACGTCGTGGTTTTCAAGTCAAATGGTGCTGCGTTTCGGGTCACAACATTGGCGCTCCCGTCCAATACTCAACCAACTTCTTTGCTCATTTCACAATGATGTTGTTTCCTGCGTTGTCTTCTTGATGGTTTGCCAACGTTTGCCAGACATGGCGGAAGCGGGTCTTTTTCTTGGCGACAAGGGACGGTTTCAACTTTGTCAAGGATTGTACTTGTGAGACAGTTTACCCATTTGGCTTTTAGATTGGCAGTTGTGTCAAGCTGTTTTTGCTATTCTTGCAACTGTGGGCGCTACCGCCAGGATCCGAACAACTTGATCAGTGAGAAGGATATCCGGGCATATGCTGCAAAGCCGTGGCAGCCAAGAACTGAGCCAGCCACTCACAAGTGGCTCCAAGATTCTTTGACTTCTCGGGAGCGGGAACAGTTGACATCTATGGGCAACATAGTTGTTCCTGAAATGGCACATTTTGCTGCCAATTTGCTGTGTCGAGCTTGAAAGTGTTTGTTGACAAGTGTTTGTGAGATGCTTGTGAAAGTAATTCGTTGAAAGGACACTAAACTAGCAGTTGTCGGGATCTGCTGCAAAGCAGACCACATGGCTGATGTTGGCGTAGGACTTCTCCGCCGGTGCCTCAAAAGCGCAAAGGCTCATTGCACAACATGCACGCCCCATGCAACATTGCTACAGCTGTTTGACAACATGTGCATTGCAAAGACTGGCATTTGGCTTAAAACATTCTTGGACACTGAACTGTTGTGGTGTTGCCGGCATGCTTACCGTCACTCAACCTTTGCACCTACTTGCTTTGCAAGATGCTTGAAGCACGTGCAAACCACACAAGAACTCACATGCATGACTCGTGCCTGATGAATGTTCCAACGCTAGTGCTCAAACCGTGTCCTTGTAGCAACCTGTGATTTCATAACATGGGTACTGTTGTTGATGCTGGAATCTGAGCAACCACCAACATGTTGTTACGTGATGTTGTTACCAGGTTTATTTACATCGTATAATCCACGCGCCTGAGGTCGAAGTTGGAGATCTCTACGATGACACGCCCGTCTGTGCCTCAGCCAAGCACCATCCATGTCCATGTCACATTGTTGAACCAAAACTGTGTTTGACATGTGAGGGTTCTATTCCGAGCATGTGCATGACACACCACTATTAGTTCCGCATGCCACGATCATCCAGTGTGCTGTCTGCATCTAGTTTTTTGTGGACCAAGCCTGAATGCCCTATAGCAGGGTTCACATCGGTGATCATGTCGTTGGGAGTTGGCGAGTTGAGGGAGCTGGTGGCTGCAAGGGAAGAAGAACTCCGGTATGCTCACTGGAAATTGGCTGATGCCAAAAAGCGCTTGGAGGCTGCAGAAGCACATGAGGCAGCCACAGCGGAGAGGCAACAAGCGGCGGCAACAGCTACAGCAGCTGCTGTCAAAGTGGGTGCTGTGAAGCCTGAAGCTGACCCAAACGGTCTTGAGCAGAGCCATGCACACCATCCTGAACAAAAGCAAGAACTCCAGCATACACCGAAACAGGAAGAGGAAGAGGATGAGGAAGAAGAAGAAGAAGAAGCTTCACTTATCTCCGAATATGAGGAGATCCAACCGAATGAGTCTACACATGGGGACAAGTCCTCAGAAGAGAATGGTCACGAGCATGATCGCCAGCACAAGGACAAGAGTCACAAGAGTGAACCGGACACTCCTGTGTATCCTTGGACCGTCCTGCCGGAGCATGTGAAAGTAGATGCCGGAGCGGTGAACGAAAAGTCCATGACCCCTTCATGTGCAAGTGGGTCAGGAGCACGTGCATCTGGGGCTAACAAAGCACCGAAGTTCGCTGGTGCTGCCAGGCGTGCTGATTCTACACAACAGCACAGCGGGTATGGCAAGGCAGATACCCCCGAGAGCCATGGTCTACTTCCTCCACCACCTCCACCACCCCCAGAACAGGTGAAAACTATGTGCCCAACACCGTGTGGTTGCGGCAAGCCATGCACCAGGGTTGAGAGGATGATTCGCCAACAGCATTCTAGCCCATTTGCGAGGACGCGCTTGAAACACAACAACCACGCTTGCAATGTATGTCAACAAGAGTGGTATGCCGCCACTCACAGGCCTCGTCATCGCCGCTGATTTGGTGATGCCACAGGTGTGTACAATACAAAGCACATGTGGTGGCCATAGGATGGTTAACAATCATCAAACTTGCAGTGGCACTTTAAACTGTAATTTAAACCATCACTTGGTTCCAGTCTCCACATTGTGCCTTATAAATTCAGCTGCTTGACATCTAGTCACCCATACAAACATGGCTGCTTCCAAGCAGAAAAGAACAGAGTGGCTGCCGTCTGTGTCCACCCATGCCTGAGTTTGTCCCGTGTGCACGCGCTAGCCTTATGTACAACA